CACACGAGGCCTCGGGGGCAGACCACCTGGTCACCCCTTCCCCAGACAGCATTCACTGCTGAGCCAGTCACTGGGAACCGGATGGGAGGGGCCTCAGAGCCAGACCACCGACTCTAGCTGTCCCAGCTCAGGGCGAGCTCCGGGGTTTCTCCACCATAAAATGAAAGGAGAACAGGCTGTCCCACAGCCCAGAAACCCCTTCAGACAGGACCATGTGCCTGCATCTGTAATCCCCAGAGAGAAGCCAATGACCCTGAGGGCTCTGGGTCACACAGATAAGGGGGGACTTGGAGCCCATGGCTGCACGGCCCAGCGAGGTGGCAGGGAGCGGTGGGTGAGGCCACTGGCCCTCAGGCATGCCTGGCAGGGTCAGCCCCAACCACGGTGCCTGTGGCCCCCTTGCCTGGCACTGCTATCCCCAGTATCTCCTCTGAAAGGCTCTGCATGGCAAGAGGGGCACAGGCCACCGAGACCTCTCCTTTTGTCCCTCGGGAGCCCTGTCTGTAGGGCCTACGGCTCCAAACAAAGGATGGGGCCAGGAACGGGAGCCCAACCCGAGGAGGGGTAACGGCACGACCCAGCTTCCTTGGGGGCAATCCTCCCATCACCAAATTCTAAGTCACATGCTGCAGCTTGGGGCCCAGGCATTAGAGCTTAAAAACTGCGGGGTACAATGAATAAGGAACAGAAATTCTATGGGCCAAAAATGAAAAAAAAAACAAAAAAAAAACAGGTTGAAAAGCAGCCAAGCCTCCAGTCCAGTGCAGCACAGATCGCCCCCCACAGCCCCCTGACCAGACCCGGACGCCCCAAGAAGCCAGCCCTCCAGGGGTGGCCACACCCACCCCACCTGAGGACCTAAGACCAGTTTCTGTCTCCCTCCCCTCCCCACAAAACAGGCCTGGAGTGAGCAGTTCCTCCAAAACCACCTACAGCTGGGGAGGGGCCAATGCCGGGCCTAGGTACCTGCTCGAGGTATCCATGCCTCTGTTGGATGTGGGAAGTCCATGCTCCAGGGCAGCTGCAGGCACCAGGCAGGTGGCTCAGCCATAATGCAGGGGCTTGGCATGTGCTCAGACAGCTCCATTTCTAATTCCTACTGGCCTCCTGCACATGAGGAAGCGCAGCCCCCAGGCACGTTTCAATTCAGGTCAACACAGAGGCAGCCCGGTGTGTTGACACACAGAACACCAGGGTCACCACAGGGCATCTTCAGATGGGAGCATCCCTCCTCAGAGAGCACCCACCCCACCCCGGGCTGCTCCAGAGGCAACAGGAAAAGGGGCCTGGCTGAAGGCACCCAGGAAGCTCAGATACTGAGAAGGAAGCACCGACAGCCCTTGGGACTAGGAACAAGGAAGGCCCTGGGTGTGCCCCCCACAACCCCCTACCATCCCCCACACAGGTGGAAAAAGCCCTGGCATCCCTCCTGAACACCTGCACTCAGGGGAACCAGACCCCACAGTCCACAGTCCACAGAGTACCCCTTAACCTCACTCACTCCTGGACACTAGACCCCACAGTCAACAGAGCCCCACATAACCCCACTCGATGTTGGACGCCAGATCCCACAGTCCACAGAGCCCCACATAACCCTACTCACTTCTGGACACCAGATCCCACAGTCCACAGACTCCCACATAACCCCACTCATTCCCGGACACCAGACCCCACAGTCCACAGAGTCCCAAATAACTCGCTCACTGAAATCAGGAGCACCTTGCAGGCCTGCCCTGAGCTGTCTTGGATGAAAGCAGAGGAATGGAAACTGAGTTTCAGGGCTGCCATTTAACAATACAGTTATGATGGGTTCCCCTGCAAATTACATCAGCAACAAAAAGCTCACAGTAGAACACAGGGAGAAAAATAAACAAAGCAACCCCCCAGTATTTCTACAGCCTAAAGAGAAACATGGTTCATACTCCAATTTCAAAACCCAGACCTAGGATAGGCCTGTTCTGGAACCCCCACAGCCTGCTTCTTTTCCCTCCGTTTACCAAAGTGTCTCATCTCCGCCCCCCTCCCTCCCTCCCTCCACTGAGCTCTGCTGGCAAATCCACCTGGGTCAAACCCCCTTCCCCAGTGACTGTGTCTGCCTTCCACACAGCCCGGCTCCACGTTACACCATGAGCTTCAGCAGGACTGCTGGAGCCCTCACAGGGCCAGTCCTCTGCCTCACACCCACTTTGGGAAGAGACAGGAAGCTCTGGCCACCCGCTGGCCCCGGCCCCTTTCAATCCACTCAACTGCCCCAGCCCTATGTCTTGTTTCCCTACAGCAAGGCTCTCAGCATAAACTGCTCTCGCACTCCCCATTGGGTAAAATGAGTCTCCTTCCCAGCTCCAGGCCAGGCCCCTGAGCAGGCCCTTCTGTACCAGCGGCCAAGCCCAGGGCAATCCTGCGCTCCCCTTCTGGGTCCTCTCTGTGGTCTGACTATCCCATGAAAACATTTCCTTCTCCAGGGCTCTGTGAATGGACCTGCCTTCCATGGAGTCCCCAGCTCATGGCTGCTCCCCAAGACTAGACGCCAGGATACTGGAATGCCCCAAAGAGGCTTGAGCCTCCAATTCTGGACTTCTCTGCTACCTACTCGCTCCCAACAACAGAAATACCATGCAGAGTGGATGGGCACCTCTGTCCCCAGAGCACTGACTCAAGGTCACCCACAGTCTCCCACCCATACCACGAGCCCATCCAGGGTGGAATGCTGAAGCTGTCCTTGGTTCCCGGCTTCACACTCTCTACCTCATCTGCGGTCTACCTTCATTGCAGCCAGCTCGGTCCATGCTCCCCACACCACTGCGGGCCTAAGCCCAGGGCCCCGGCGGCTCCCACCCCAGCCAGCCCCAGACCTGCCAGTTCCCATCCACTGCGGCCCTGCACGGAGCAGCCAGGCGGCCTTTACAAATGGGCACCAAGCTGTGTCACCACCTCCTTCCTCCACCCATGAAACCACAACCCTGCTGTGACCACACAGGGCCCACAGGTCGGATTACCAACCACCGCAGGCCCTGCTTCTGTCACCCCTAACCTCGCTGTCGGGTCCCAGGACTTGGGATCTGCCGAGCTGCCTGCCCCACCATTTCCACCAACAGTAGGGTCCCCTGGGCTTGGCTCAGGACACTGCAGAGCAGCCCTCGGTGACTGTGGCTCCTGCACTCGCCACCACCTAAAGTTCTGTACTTCACTCTCCTGTGGGCCACTAGCTACCCCACTGGATAACAGTGTGCCTCCAGGGAGGCAGGTGCCTATGTCACTGGCTGCGGTGGCCCCAGCACCAAGAGGCATGGCCTTAAGCGGCTGCTGAGTGAACAGCGACTGTTCTGGAATCTCAGAACAGCTGTCGTCAGCCCACTGGGCCTTGGTCCTGCAGATACTGGCTCTGCCCAGACCCACACGGTGCCCTGCTGCTGCCTCTCTGCACAGCTGGGCAACTTCTTCCAGGGTCTCAGCAGACAATCCTCACCATCTCCAGCCTAGGCCCTGGTGCTCGCACCTCCTTAGGGTGATTTCCAACTCTATCCAACCCTGTCCCATGGGAAGGGCTGCAACCATGGCCACAGCCACGGCCACCAAAGGCTGTGCAGCCAGCACATGAGTCTGTCAAGCAATGAACCCTCAGCACACCCCTGCTGGGTGGAGAGGAAGGCCCTGAGGCCGAGAGCCAGGACACCAGCTCAGTCATAAGCTGGCAAGCAAGGACAACCAGATGGAAGCTTCCACCTGGGCTGCATGCCCTGGGGTCCATACAGCGCTGACTGCTGCTCCGCCTGTGACCCAGGCCAGGCTGACGCATGACTACCCGGACGGGAGCCTCCACCTGGGCTGCATGCCCTGGGGTCCGTACAGCACTGACTGCTGCTCCGCCTGTGACCCAGGCCAGGCTGACGCATGGCCCAGGGCAGAACACACAGCCACATACACACATGCCCCAGGGCCTTCCTTGTCCTTCACAGACATGGCCATGGCCAAGGCAGCACAGAGGGGACCTACAGTTTGTTTAGGCCAAAATGCTTCAAAAGCAAAGCCCATTTGTTCCCTAAAGCAGTAGAAAGCTTTTTTTTGAGACACAATTTTACTCTTTTTGCCCAGGCTGGAGTGCAGTGGCGTGATCTCGGCTCACTGCAACCTCCACCTCCCAGGTTTAAGTAGTTCTCCTGCCTCAGCCTCCCAAGTATCCGGGATTACAGGTGCCCACCATTGCCCCTGGCTAATTTTTGTATTTTTTAGTAGAGATGGGGTTTGACCATGTTGGCCAGGCTGGTCTCAAACTCCTGACCTCAGGTGATCCACCTGCCTCGGCCTCCCAAAGTGCTGGGATTACTGGCATAAGCCACCACGCCTGGGCAAGTGGGAAGCTTTTTAACACTAGAGGTCCAGAAATCAGGAGAGCCCACCTGGTGCCCCATGGGCCACACTGCAGGACCCTCCCCCAGGTTCAGAAGCAGCCAAACCAGTGGGAATGGGGCCGATGTAGGCTGAGGAGAAAACAGCTGGAAAGCACACCTGCCTCATTCACAGACGGCAGGTAAGTACTCGCCAGAGACATCCCTCGCTTGGTCAGGCATGCTGAGGGATGCCTGAGCCCCAGCTGAGCCACTGTCCCACTAGGAACTCAGGCCCGGTGTGGTCAGGGCAGGGGTCCACAAAGCCACAGCACCGATACCCACTTCAGCAGCCCCCAGACCTCTCACAGGCTCTCCCATCTGCTTTGCCTCTGACACCGTTGCCTTGTGTGGCAAACACGTCACTGACCCCTTTCCAAAAATATGGCGGTGGGGCCGGAGAGGCCGTGTTCTTCCCAGGCACGTGCCACCTGTCACTGGTAGAGAAGGGACTCAGGCTCTTCACATGCCCTTCAATGCTCAACATGGCTTCAACAACAGAGGAGGCAGCCATGCGCTGGTGCCTGCAGCTGAGGGCTCACGGGGACACGAGTCCCTGCCGAGACCCAGGGTCGAGGTGCCCTGAATCCCAAGCCACTCCTGCAACAGACTCACCATGTCTGCTCTTTGTTTCTGGCCTCCCAGCTCTTCCAGGGCCTGCGACAGCTGAGCCTGCAAGACAAGAGAGGATCTGGCCTCAGGCTGGGGTGGACCAAGCACCATTTCTAGGACTGCGGAGAACATAACCCCCAACACCCTGCAGCCTCCACTCCCTGTGGAGCAACAGGGCTCAGGAGCTGGGCAGTGGGCAGCTGGAAGGTTGGCAGGGGCCAGTGTGGCCACCCCGTGAGGCCCAGAGCCCAGTGATAGAGACAGACCAAGTAGGCAGCAGGTGGCTGGAGAGTTGGCAGGGGCCAGTGTGGCTGCCCCTTGGGGCTCAGAGCCCAATGATGGAGACAAAGACTGAGTGGGCAGCAGGTGGCTTGACAGAACCAAGGTCCATCCCAAAAATCTGCCTCAGGAAACAGACTGTGAATGGAGTGGACAAAGGGGCGGGCCCGAGAGGGACTGTGAAATCAGTGGAGAGACGGAGGGGAAAGGTTCAGGATGGGACTTTCCATCAGAGGAAATCAATTAACCATAACTCCTACGCAGGTGGGGAAGGTCTCCTGCCCCCACACACGCCCCATAGAGCACTGGGCCTAACCCCACACTAAGGATAGAAAAGCCAGCAATGAGAAGCCAGCCACCTCCTCCTAACAGGCCTCATGGAGCAGCAAGGCTGGGCCTGGCTGTGGGGCCGGGACATCAGCAGTCCAGCTCCCTGCTGAGGACGGTGACCCTGCCCCATGCATGGGGCTCAGGACCTCAGAGACCCCCTGCCCTGGGCCTCTGCCCCTGCAGGTCCTGCCTTCCCCCACATCCCCTGCCCCTGCCCCTTCCTGACTCCATCCCACGACCCTGCTTCGCTCCCTACTGCCCCCACCACCTAAACACACCGCATCTGTGACCTGGAACCAGGGAGGAAGGGTCAGGCACTGGGGGCCTTGTAAGACCTCTCCGCTCTGGGGCACAGCACAGAAGAAGGCATGCCCATATTTGGATTGCATTCTAGCCCAGGCAATGGAGCGATACCCCCATTCTCTCTCCTTCTTCCTCTTTCTCTTTCTTCCTCTTCTTTATTCTTTAAAAAAAAAAAAAAAAAAAAAAAAAAAAAAGAAAGGCGGGGAAGGAGACTGAGGGCCCCGCTCAGGAGTGAGGCAGTTGACTGTGGTGAGGGTGTGCAATCTGCGGGGTGGAGGTCTAGCATGCCTGGGGTTGAAGGAGGAATTGAGAGGCCTGGCCCAGCAGCAACTGGAAATCACATGGCAAGTCACCAGGAGAGACGGGAGAGAGAAATATGAGGGAGGGAGGCATGCATATGTGCATGCACATGAGTGTGGGTATGGGAACACTGCTGTGTGGCATGTGCACACGTGGTGGGGATGGGGGAAGTTTATTTGGAGACACAGAGAACAAGGCACTACAGCCCCTGGGGACACAGCCTGGGGAAAGTGGCCCAGGTAGCAGCCCAGTCCTCAGGCACTCTGCTCTGCAGATCACAGGTCCTCAAGCTCCACTACGGGCCCAGCACAGCCAGAGCCAGGCTCTGGACTTCCCATGGGCCATGCTGGGTGCCTGCTGGTTCTGGATGCCACAGCAGAGTCAGACCCAGGCTGACAGGTGGGAGCACCTCAGCCCCCCGAGCCTCTGCTGTGGGGCCTCACTCAGTGAGAGCATCCGAGTGACCCCCATTGCCCAATGCCCTGTGCAACACCTGTGGGTGTGGGGCAGGCCTTGAGCTCTGCCCACTACCAGTCCTGCCTGGTGCTCTCTCACTTCCCCGGTGGAGGCCCTGAAGCCTGCCTGGTCACTGTCATCAGGAGGCAGGTGGCCATGGCCACTCTGGGCTGTGTGGACTCCTCCATGGAGAGCTTGGTGCCTCAGGGTCAGGGAGCAGCACATCACCCTCCACACAGGCAGCTGAACCCTGGATAATCTGCGCACTGCTGGGGTCACAAGCACCTGGGAACAGCAGATGGAGAGGGACATCCCCCAGTCTCGGCCTAGATACAACGTGCTTCACTGAGCTACACCCCTGCGCATGGCACCCCTGGGCACTCCCAGGGGCAGAGAGAGCCAGGTTGGGGCATCCCAGACACCCCATGCGCTTAGGCAGAGCCTCAACACTCGGGAAGCAGCTGCAGTCCACACTCATGCTCGCCTCACGCAGCCCTGCACCCAGCACCCTGCACAGATCTACCCGCACCCACAGGCCGCCAGGCCATAGAGACTACCCCAAACATGGGGAAAGACAACCAGGCTCTGAGCTGGCATGAGCGGGGAGAGGCGGCCATTAGAGCTGCCCGTACCCCCTGTAGCCTGAGCATGTCCGCCATGCTTGGCACCCGCCCTGGGCACACAGGCAGCTGGCACGTGGATACCAGCCTCAGCTCACAGCTGCAGATGAGGCACATCGTCACCCCCATTTACATCAGTTCATGTGGCAACTGCGCAAGGTCAAAGGCACTTTACGACACAGGTTGGAAGAGGCCAGGGCCATTCATAAGCAGCAGGGCAGGGAGCTATGTGCAAGGCCCAGGCCAACCTGCTCTCCTGCGCCTCCCAACACCATCACTGCAGGGTGGAGCCGTGACCACGGCGGCCGGCCAAGGGTCCTGCCGAGGCCAGGCAGGCCACAGCAACCTCAGCCTTCACAGCCTCCTGTACCAAGCGGGTAGGCCGCAGGAGTTTTCAGAAGGTTTCATGAGGTTTCTTTGAGGATAGCACTGAGCAATGTGTGCCTGAAGACAAGTACATTTACAATCGGCTCATCAGCCTGAGGCCAAGGTGTTCGACTCCGCACCAGCCCCACTCAGCCTCATACTTCCGTCAACAGCTGGAACAAACAGAACGCGTGTTTCCTCAAATCCTCTGTGTCCCGAAAACACAGAGACCAGTGAGATTTTTGAGACATCCCCAAAGCCAGAGTTGCTGGCAGAAAGGTGACTGAGCCATGGAGCCCTGCACTCAGACTTGCGCCCTGGTCTTCAGTACCTGGACAGAGTGCCTCAGAGCAGCTCCCATGAGAGTGCAACCCCGGGATGGGGGCAGGAAGCCGAATGCATGTCAGCAGGAGCAGCTGTGACTGGGCTCGCACACCCACCTGGTGCTAACAGGACCCTGGGTTCAGGAAGGCAGATGTCAACAAGCTGTTCCCCAAGAGGCAACCAGGACAGCAGAGGGCATCACAGGAGCCATTCAGCCACGAAGAGAGATGGCTTCTGGACAGTGAGAGCCGCCTTTAACTGACGACTGAACACACAGGTGTCACTCAGGCTGCAATGAGATGGCCACGGATCCTGAGTGACCCATGAGGTTCTACGTCTTTGCCTGCATTAAGGGGGTTACACACATATACTCACCCTGTTGTCCAACAGGCTGTATACTTATAATCTGTGCACCTTGGTGTATTATGTTACATTTCCATTAAAACATATACTCTAGCACCATGGGATACAAACTACAGAGGAAGAGAGGGACAGCTCTGTTACCATCAAGATAAATTGTTTCAGCCAAGCACAGTACTCACTAGGGAGGCCAAGGCACAAGAACTGCTTGAGCTCAGGAGTTCGAGACCAGCCTGGACAACATACAGAGATCCTGTCTCTACAAAAAATTTAAAAATCTGCTGGGCGTGGGGGCACACAACTGTGGTCCCAGCTACTCAGGGAGATGAGGCAGGAGGATCTCTTGAGACAAACAGGTTGAGGCTGCAGTGAGTCATGACTGTGCCACTGCACAATCATGGGCAGCAGAGTGAGACCCTGTGTCAAAAACACAAAAACAAAGATGTGGAACACACAAAAAAAGGTTGTTTGTAACCAGCCACATCTTCCCAACAAGGACGGCCAAATGGGACATCGCACAACCCTGAGTAAGAGGTGACTCCAGACAGGGCCTTCTCAGCAAAGCAGCCACCAGACAGAAGCTCAGCAGGCGGAGGGGCCAGAAATCCGAGAGTGTGACACGGGGCGCATGTTCCACACACAGAGAGATGGGGATGCAGCAGGGAGGACGGAGGGAGCTCAGGTCTGGTTTATAGACATCCCACAGCACAAGGTTTGTGGGTGCAGGACACCTCAGTCACCTCTCACTCATAACCTGAAAAGACACATGTGGCACTCCTAAGAACGGGGGTAACATGGAGAGGACACAGGCAGAGAAGGCCCTGTTGGCATGCAAGGAAATGCACTGCTGTCTGTGGCTCAAAGAGAATATGTGGTCAGACATGAGGTTTCCAAGTAACCAAAAGAAAAAAAAATGTTTTACATGACAGCAGGTGCCAACAGGTTAGGAGCTAGCAGGGAGAACAGCAGTGGCTGCAGTCTGGGGTGTCAGCCACAACGCATGCCTGGCCTGGGCCTCCCCGATGTGACAGGTTCTGCAGAGGGAGACTGTGAGAAGTTCACAGCAGAGCCCCAGCACCGAGGAGCATCTGATAAACGTCCACTCGTCCCTCACTTTATTGTTCAAAGAAAACAACTGGAGAAAGAAAAAAAAAGGAAACACTGAAACCCGCACAAGCCACTACAGGAGACACAGGACTTCACTAAACCCACACAGCCCATTACAGCAGAGACAGTATATCATGAAACACACACAGCCCACTACAGGAGAGACAGGGCATCACTAAACCCACACAGCCCACTACAGGAGACACAGGGCATCACTAAACACACACAGCCCACTACAGGAGACACAGGGCATCACTAAACACACATAGCCCACTACAGGAGAGACAGGGCATCACTAAGCACACACAGCACATTACAACAGATACAGTATATCATGAAACCCGCACGGCCCACTACAGGAGAGACAGGACATCACTAAACCCACACAGCCCACTACAGGAGAGACAGGGCATCACTAAACACACACAGCCCGCTACAGGAGAGACAGGGCATCACTAAACCCGCACAGCCCACTACAGGAGAGACAGGGTATCACTAAACCCGCACAGCCCACTACAGGAGAGACAGGGCATCACTAAACCCGCACAGCCCACTACAGGAGAGACAGGGCATCACTAAACACACATAGCCCACTACAGGAGAGACAGGGCATCA